CTCTTTGTGCCCTCCTGGAAGACCTCCTGGACGCCTTTTGGGCCGTCTTGGAGGCCTTGGGCAGTCTCGGGCCATTCTGAGGCCATCTTAGGCAGTCTTGGGTGCATCTTGGGCCGTCCTGGAGGCCCCTTGGGGCCATCTTAGCAGTCTTGGAAGCCATTGTGGCCGTCTTGGAGGCCTCTTGGGCTGGGCCCTCTTGGGGCCGTCTTGGAGGCCTCTTGGGCCGTCATGGGGCCATCTTGGAGGCCTCGTGGGCGATCTTGGGGGCCGTCTTGAGCCGTCGGAATACCGAAAAGAAGCAAATGCCAAAATCCTTCAAGAACCTTAGGAAAATCAATGATGTAAGTCTCTTCGGGCCCTCCTGGAGGACCTTTTGGAGGCCTCTTGGGCCGTCTTGGAGGCCTCCTGGGGGCCTCTTGGGCCGTCTTAGGCCAGTTGGAGGCCACCTCAGGCCGTCTTGGGTGCATCTTGGGCCGTGTTGGAGGCATCTTGGGGCCATCTTAGCAGTCTTGGAGGCATCTTGAGCGTCTTGAAGGCCTCTTGGGCCGGCCGTCTCGGGCCGTCTCGGGCCATTTTGAGGCCATCTTAGGCCGTCTCGGGTACATCTTGGGCCGTCCTGGAGGCTTCTTGGGGCCATTAGCCGTCTTGGAGGCCATTTGGGCCGTCTTGGAGGCCTCTTGGGTCCTCTTGGGGCCGTCTTGGGGGCCTCTTGGGCCGTCGGAAGGCCGAAAAGGCGTAAATGCAAAAGTCTTTCGAAAACCCATGGAAAATCACTGATTTGGGCCTCTTCGGGCCTTCCTGGAGGACCTCTTGGAGGCCTCTCGGGCTGCCTTGGAGACCGCTTAGGGGGCTCTTGGGCCATCTTGAGGCTATCTTAGGCCGTCTTGGGTGCATCTTGGGTCGTCTTGGATGCATTTCGGGGCCATCTTAGCCGTCTTGGAGACCATCGTGGCCGTCTTGGAGGCATCTTGAAGGCCATCTTGGGCCATCCTGAGCGAAAAATTATGGATTGAGGTTCTTTCTGGGTGGCCGGCGGGACGGGCCGAAGCCCCAGGGGGGGTTCTTTTTGAAAAAGAACCAAAACCAAAACCGAAAGGATCTAGCACGCCAGGCACCCCTGCGATGAATCGACAGCGGGCGGGGCGGATCGAAGACGCCTACGGCGAATCACCGCCGCCCCCTGCCTTTTTGGAAGCGCCTATGTGGCCGAACGTTGAGGCCAGACCTGCCAAGCTATCGGACCATGTGTTCCACGAACCGGTTTGGAAAGTCTTCGGGGAACACGTGGGCATCTTGAAGGTCATTTTGGCCGCCTGGAGACCATTTTAACCCTTTCGGGCCTTCTTGGAGGACGTCTTGGAGGGATCTTGGGCTGTCTTGGAGGCCATCTTGAGCGTCTTGGAGGCCTCTTGGGGCCGTCTACGGGGCCTCTTGGGGCCGTCTTGGGCCTCTTAGGCAATCTTTGGAGGCACTTGGGCCGTCTCGGGCCGTCGGAAGGACGAAAAAAAGCAAATGCCACAATCCTCCAAAAATTCTTGGGAAATCAATGATTTGGGCCTTTTCGGGCCTTCCTGGAGGCCCTCTTGGAGGCCTCTTGGGCCGTCTTGGGCCATCTTAGTGCAATCTTCGGCCGTCTTGGTGGGCCCCTGGCCCGTCCGACGCCGTTGGAAGCCGTTTGGGGGGCCTCTCTGAGCCGACTTGGGGCCTTCTTGGAATGCTCCAGGGCCGTCTTGGAGGCCATCTTGGGCGTCTTAAAAGCCTCCTGGGCCGTCTTGGGGGCCTCTTGGGGCCGTCTAGGGGGCCTCTCGGGCCGTTCTGGGGCCATCTTGGAGGCTTCTCGGGCGATCTTTGGGGGCTCTTGGGCCGTCTCGGGTTGTCGGAAGGCCGAAAAGAAGCAAATGTCAAAATCATTCAAACACCTAAGGAAAATCATTGGTTCTATAGGCTTACGCTGCATCCGCCGACCCCTATATAAACCATTGCGCCTCCAGGACTGCATTTCACGAGGCTTGCCCGAATCATGACACGACGCTCGACATCGTTCCTGTTGCTTCGTTGCTGTTATCGTACCTCTTGGTGCTATTTTGTGGCCTTCTGGTGGCATCTTGGCCTGTCTGCAGGCCATATCCGGCCGCCTCGAGGCATCTTGGGCCAAGTTTTGGGGCCTTTGGGGGGCTTCCTTGGGGCGTATTGGAGGCCTTTGAGGTTCTCTTGGGGGTCCCTCAGGGCCTCTTGGGGTGTTCTTGGGGCAGGCTGGGGGCGTCTTGGGGCCGAAGGCTCGAAAAGGTGTCCTCTGGACTCCGTCTTGGAGCCGTCTGGGGGCCCTCTTGGGCTGTCTTAGGGACCCAGACAGCTCATAAGAACCCAAAGACGGCCCGAGAAGGGCCAAGAAGGCTCCAAGAGACTCCCGGGAGCGCCCCAGGAGGCCCCCAAACCGCCCAAGAAAGCCGCAAGACGGCCCAAGATGGCGCCGAGACGGCCTAAGAAAGCTCCCACAGAACCCCACGACGCGCCCAGACAGCCCAAGAAGGCCCCAGAGGCCCATAAGAGGACCCAAGGGGCCCCCAAGAAGCCCCCAACAGGCTCCAAGACAACCCCGCGCGGCGCCAGCCTCTTACTGTCCTCTGTCGTCGTCGTCATCGCCCTCCGCATTCCTCCTCGTACTCGCCCTCGTTCTCTTCGTCCTGGTCCTTGTGCTTCTCTTCCTCCTCGTTGTCCTCATGCTGATCCTCGCTATCCTCACGTTCGGCACGTCGTCCTCGTCATCGACTGCTCGTTGCCCTCGCCTTCCTTTTCTTTTTCGCCCAATACGCCCATTAGACTGAAGCGGCGCTTCCCGGTCTTGTCCGATCAGGTTTTGGGGCCGTCTTGGAGGCCGTCTTGGACCATCTTGGGCGAACTTGGAGGCCATCTTGGAGGCCATCTTGGGCCAACGTGGCCATTTTGGCGCCATCTTGAGCCATCTTGGAGGAATTGTTTCTGGATTGAGCACCTTCCCTGGACCCCGGCGGGACGCGCCGGAGCCCCAGGGGGAGGCTTTTGGGAAAAGAACCAAAACCAAAACCGAGAGGGTTCAGAACGCCGGGCACCCCTGCGATGAATCGACAGGGGGCGGCGGATCTTAGTGGCCTTCGGCATCCCGCTACCGTGTCTGGGTTGTGGGGCTGAGGCCTCTGGTATACGTGTTGGGGTGTCGTGGGGAGCCTCTCGGGGCCTCTTGGAGGCGGTTTCGGCGCCTCTTGGGGGCCTCTTGGGCCTCGTGGGGTATCTCTTGGGCATCTTGAAGGCCTCTTTTGCATGTCTTGGGCGCCTCTTGAGGCCTCTTGGGGCCTCCTGGGGGCTTCTCAGAACGCTTCTTGAGACATCTTTGAGCCCTCTCGGGCCGTCTTGGGGCCCTCTCGGCGTCTTGGGCTGGCTTGGGGCGGTCTTGGGAGCTTCTTGAGCCATCTTGGAGCGTCGGAAAGCCGAAAATGCGAGAACCCCAAACTCCTTCAAAAACCTTTTGTAAAATCGGCGATGTTGGCCTCTTGGGGCTCTCTCGGGAGGCATCTTGGAGCGCTCTTGGGGCCGCTTAAAACCCTCTTGGGCCGTCTTGGAATCATCTTCGGGCGCCTTGTAGCATTCTTGGCCTCGGCAATACGAATATGGCAGAATGTGCAAAGGTTTCTGGCCACGCGGACGCGAATATCGAATAATGTACGAGAGCGTGTTGCCTCGGGGACTCAAGAGTTGATCAATTTGCGAGGGTTTCTGGCCTCGGGGGCGCAACTAGCACGTAATTTACGAAAGGATTCCGGCTTCGGGGACGCGAATATTGCGTAATGTATTAGGGTTTGTTGCCTCGGGGCCGCAAAACTTAAGGAATTTGCCCAAGAATTGTGTAAATGGCAAGGGTTCATGACCTCGGGGACGCGAATACGGTGTAATTTACTAAGTTGTGTTGCCGTGGGGACGCAAAAGTTGCATGATTTGAGAGGGTGATTGGCCTCGGGAACGCGAACATTCTATAATTGACGAGGAATCGTTGCCTCGGGGGCGCAACTGCAGCGTAATTTATGATTGATCGTGGCCCAAAAGGCGCGAACGCAGCGTAATTTACGGGAGATCGTGGGCCTCGGGGGCGCGAATACAGCGTACTTCGCACGGGATCGTGGCTTCGGGGACGCGAATGTGGTGCAATTTGCAAGGGATCGTGATCTCGGGGACGCGAGCGTGGCGTAATTTACGCGAGATCGTGGCGTCGGGAGCGTAATTTACGGGGGATCGTGGCCCCAGAGGCGCGAATGTAGCGTATCTTGCAGGAGATCGTGGTCTCGGGGGCGCGAATATGGCTTATTCTACAAGGGATCGTGGCTTCGGGGACGCGAATGTGGTGCAATGTGTTAAGGATCGTGGCCTCGGGGGCGCGAATACAATATAATTTATGAAGGATTATTGCGTCGGGAGCGCGAATCTCACGCCTTTTGCGTGTCCCACGGCCCTGCAGGAATTCAGACAACGCGATTCGGAGGTGGTAACCAGACGTTTTTCGGCTACCCCCCACCGCGCGGATTTCAGCAATGTACAGTAGGAATCAGAAAGCAGGACTGTAACGGTGGAGACTGGAGTCTGGAACTGGTGCACGGTACTGAAACCTAGGCCTCGCAGCGTGATGGCCCCACAAGGGGGCCGGCGGATATACGAACGCGTTACGGTGCACATGCCTCCTTGGCCGAGCCAGGAGGGCGTGTGCATCGATCCTGGGCCCAGGATGAGCCCCGCGAGCATCGGCGCAGTCGTATACGGTAGGTTCGCGTCGTGTCGACCGGCGGCGACCCCAGCGCGGGCGTTCAAGGTTGAACGCCGCCGGCGACCCAGAATCGATCGATGTTGAACATTTGGACGTTGCGGCAGCGGCCGATCGTTCAAGGTTGAACGATCCCTGCGGTGTCAGAAACCAACGCCGAAGTCGGCACGACACGGACCTGCCGTAGCGCCTTTCCCTCTGCCGAGGTGATCACATGCTTGCACGTGCCCCCGGTGCACATTGCGACGGCGCGGGTGCTGCCGGAGCGGCCCAGGCCGGTGGGCGAGCTGGCGATCAACCTGCACAAACAGGTGTTCGCCACGGGGGGAACGGGTCTTGAGGGAAACGGGCCCTGAGGTCTTTCGCCGTTCTTGTTCGGGCGCTCGGAGCCCTCTCCACGGGCCCCAGAGTACTTGTCCGAAAGCGACTCCGGATGAAGATTTCGTGTTGGGGGAAGGCCTCGGGGTCCAGGACCCGTTTCCCTCGGGGCCCGCTGCCCCCCTTGCTAAAACAGGTGCGGATCCTCTTGGAGCTGGTCGGCGCGCGCGGTCCGCAGCGGTCGCGGCGCTGGCCCGCGTCCATGGCTGGCGTGGCCGACGCCGTCGGCAGCAGCCTGGGGGGCCTGTCGTTGGAGGAGCGGCGGAGCATTCTGGAGACGCTAGACGTGCCCCAGTGAAAAGAACAAAAACACCGCACAATCATGAACATTCAGATGGCCCGCGCGGATCTCTTGATCGTTTCGGCGCTTCCGGCTCGATTAGACTTCGATGGCTTCCGATTCCGATCCGATTCGTCTTCGCATTCCGGCTCGGATTCCGAGTTCTCAATGGAGGTTCGGAGACCTACTAGCTTGCCGATTCCCGCCGATTCGACTTCTTCCGACTGGGCTGCCGATGTTCGCCGATCCGATTCACGCCGATCGCCGATCCGACTAGTCGATTCGATGCTGGGCTCGCCGGCCTGGCGCGCGAAGCACGCCAGGGACGGCGCAGGAGACGCCGCCAGGGGGGAGGCTCGGGGCTCAAGAGACGGGGGTCCATGCAAACGGGGGTCGGTCAGAGCGCCGGATCTTGCAGGATCCGGCAGAGCCAGGGCTGCACTGACCCCGGCTCGGGTGCCAGATCCCGCAGCATCCTGCCAGGCCAGAGTGACCCGGGCTTGCACCGACCCTGGCCAGCACATCGCCGAGGAGGCCCCGCGCGCCGGCCCGAGGCCTCCGCGCGGGCCTCCGGAAGTTCATGCTCGTGCTGCCTTCTTGTTCCTCGGCCAGCGCCTGGAGGTCGTGGCGCGGGTGCTGCAGAGGCGCCTCGACTCCAGGGGCGGCCCCTCAGGCGCCTCGGCGGCCCCGGGCCGCCTGGTGGACGTGGGGGTCGGCGGGGCCGGCGCGGCCCCGGAGGAGGCCTCCGAGCCGGACCGCCTCGCGGAGCTGCTGGACCGCGCGGGCCTCTCGGCCGAGGCGGCGGCGGCGGCGCGGCGCGAGCTGAGGACCCGCCACGAAGTTTGAGTCGGGCATGTCCCTCTACGGGAGGAAGGTTTCAGAGTAGTCCAAAAATGGTCTGGGGACGATTTTCGTGCCCAAGTTGACTGTTTCTGCTTTGTTGTATATCTATGTTGCATTTGTCTTCCAAAGTTGGCCTGAAGGAGGGCATGCCCGACCTGACACGAAGTTGGCTGGTCCTGAGGGGTACGGAGCCGTCGGGCTCCCCGGGGCCCTCCGCGGGCCCATGGGTTCATCAGCCACGCGCAGAGGAGGAGGAGGAGGAGGAGGAGGAGGAGGAGGAGGAGGCGGAGGCGGAGGCGGAGGCGGAGGCGGAGGAGGAGGAGGAGGAAGAGGAGGAGGGGATCTAAGCCTCCTAGATGGGGTCGGAGTGGATGAGGGCGGAGGATCGCCTTTTTGGGGCCTCCTGGGAGGCCCTCGTCGCCACCGCTGGATTCGCCTCGAAGTTCTGGTCAGAGCGCACCCTGTGAGAGGTCCAGGGAGTGGCGGTGTTGGTACCTTATGGTTTCCCCATGGGCTGTCCGAAATGGCCCCAGTAAAGCATCCTAGCAGCAGCAAAGGTGAAGAGGCGGGTCGAGGACAGGCGTAAGCACGGCCATGTGCACCTCAGCGCATGTCTTGCCAGGGGTCGTGGCCGTGCGGACGAGCACTGAGGCAAGAGCACGACTCCCGAGCAAGCTGCGAAAAAGTCTCAGGCAAAACGGCTGCCAGCACCGGCGGGCACGGGCTCCCCATCCCCCCCTTGCGAGATTGCTTTGTGGTTGATCGCTGAGCGTTATTTGAATTCTCCGCAGCGAAACGCTCTCGGGGAACAACGGCCTGGGGCGAACGGCTGGTCCTGGAGGAGCGCCCGGGTCTAGGACCCGTTTCCCGCAGGGCCCGCTCCCAGACATGCGACGTCTTGATGGTTTCCAAAATGGGGTCCCTGGAAGCACCGACCCTTTTTCCTTGGAGCTAGATTTTCATCCCGAGCCCTGTGTCTGACGGTCCTGGCGCCCTGCGGGGCCCCCAGAGGCCGTAAACGGCCAAAAACTTGGCGTCCTGGTGATTGGTCGGAGTATGCACGTGGTTGCGGCTTAAGAAGAGACGAACAAACAAACAAACAAACAAACAAACAAACAAACAAAAACGCCCTCATTGTGATCGTTATTCTGCTCAGTTTTTTGCTGATCGGCGCGGGCCCTCGCAACCCCCCCATGGAGCAGATCTTGGCTGTTCTGGGCGCCTGTTTCAGGCGGGCGGAGTCTCCCCCACGGGACGCACTGCTGCAGACAGCCGCGCTGAGCAGAGGTCCGGAGCCAGACCCGCGCCTCCCCCCCCCCTCCGCCCAATGTTCGGAGGTGGACAGACCTCTTATTCTGACACGTCGATTAAGGAATTGGCCGTTTTCGGTTCGCGAGGGGGCGACGTGGCCGTCATTTTTGCGGGTTCAGGTCCGTCGGTTTCGGTCCCAGGCCGTCTTCACTAAGGGGGGTTTACTAAAGGGAGGCTTGTCCACCGCCGAAATGTCGAAGCGCCGAGCACGGCAACGTTCACCAACGAGGTGACCATGCCCTTCCTTGTTCCCCCCCCTGCGAGTGAGGACCCTGCGGGCCCTGCAGCCCTCGAGCCCGGAGTGGCCGGGCCTGTGCGCGTACCTCGAGACCCTGGCGAGCCTGCCCTGGTCCCGGAGCTCCGGCGCCGGGCGCGGGCTCGGCCTGCGCGCCGCCCGCGCCGCGCTCGACGAGGACCGAAGGCCGAAGAATCTCTGGGCTTCCCGGACGGGGTCCGAGCAGGCGGGGTCGGAGGATCCCTTCCACATCGCCGATGCATCGGCGATGCGGCTCGATGCGGAGCCCGATTTCCTCCACGCGGACGTCGCCGATGCATCGCCGACGTCGCCGATGCATCGGTGATGTATCGCCAATGTATCGCCGATGCGGCGCGATCCCCCGACCCCAACTACTCGGACCCTATCTAGGAGGCCTCGAAGAATCGGCATCATCATGGCGCCCGTCGCGTAGCAGGCGCTCCTAATCGCTCCCAAGCGCTCCCCCTAGCCGCTCACAAGCGCTTCCAGGCGCCTCCAAGCACTCCCAGGTTCTCCAACGCGCTCCCAGGTACCCGCAGGCGTTTCCCCCAGTCGCTCCTGGGCGCGGCCCCTATCAGCCGAAGAGGCATATGACCAAAAAAAATCTTGACGATGTATCCAACGTTTGCGCAACGCGTGGCCAAAATAGCTGGGTAGACTCTCTAGGGGGTGATAGCGCGGCAATGAGTATAATTCCTGCGAGCGTTACTTGGGAGGCTTGCGAGCTGCGCGATTCGCAGGACACCGATCGATGGACAAAGGCTTGATGGAGATGAGCACTCCTGTGGCTCGAAGGGAACAAGGGGCGAAGACTAGAGGGGAAGGCGGACGAAGATCTTGAAAAATAAGCGGGGCAGCAGCAAGAAGACATTGCAACAGAAAGCAAGGAAGTGACGACGAGAGAAAGGCAGAGGAGGGATAAAGATTATGTTTCGAGGCACACCACCAATCTGTCATAGTGAGTGCAAGAACTGCGCGGGGCCGAGCTGCTCTGCCAGCTGCTGGGCCTCTTTCCAGTGTGTTCCACTGCGGGATGTCAACGCGCGCAAGCGCGCCGCGAGGTCGAATCTGAATCTGCGTAGGACGTCACTACGTTGGACCCCCTAGCAGCCTTCGAAAGTGGGGACAGCTTCGCAGATCGCAACCCCCCAGGGATGGCGAGGTCGAATCTGAATGTGCGTAGACATCAGTCCGCTGGACACCCCGGCAGCCCTCGAAAGTGGCGACAGATCGCACCCCCCCATGGACGGCGAGGTCGAATCTGAATCTGCGTGCGATGTAATTCCACTGGCCCCGCCAGCAGCATTCGAAAGTGGCGACAGGCTCGCAGATCACAGCCACACAAGGATGGCGCGGTCGAATCTGCATGTGCGTAGGACGTAGCTACGCCGCCTTCGAAAACGGCAACAGTTTCGCAGATCGCAGCCCACAACGGATGGCCAGGTCCAATCTGAATCCGCGCTGGACGTCATTGCGCTGCCCCCCCCCCAAGCAGCCCTCGAAGGGGGCGACGGCTTCGCGGACCGCAGCCCCCCAGGGACGGCGAGGTCGAATTTGAATCCGTGTAAGACGCCACCTGTGATGGCAACCCCAGCAGCCCTCGGAAGTGGGGACAGTCTCGCAGATCGCAGCCCCACATGGATGGCGAGATCTAACCTGCGTCCGCGTATGGCGTCAATGCGCCGGCCCCCCCAAACAGCCTACGAAAGTGGCGATAATGTTGCAGATCGCGGCCCCCCGGAGATGGCGAGGTCGAACATGAATCACCGTCTAGGCTCACTGCACTGGCCCCTCCAGCAGCCCTCGAAAGTGGCGACAGTTCCGCAGATCGCAGCCCCCCATGGATGGCGCGGTCGAATATGAATCCGTGTAAGACGCCAATTGTGCTGGCCCTCCCAGCAGCCTTCGAAATTGGCAACAGGTTCGCAGATCGCAGCCCGCCCCCACGGACGGCGAGGTCTAATCTGAATCCGCTTAAAACGCCAGTTTCACTGACTCACGGAGCAGCCTTCAAAAGTGGCGACAGTTTCGCAAATCGCAGCCCCACAAAGATGGCGTGATTGAACCTGCGTCCGCGTATGGCGTTATTGCACTGGCCCCGCCAGCAGCCCTCGAAAGTGGCGACAGGCTCGCAGATCGCAGCCCCCATGGATGGCGAGGTCGAATATGAATCCGCGTCTGGGCTCATTGCGCTGGCCGCCCCCAGCAGCCCTCGAAAGTGGGGACAGTTTCGCAGATCGCAGTCCCCCAGGGATGGCGCGGTCAAACCTGCATCTGCGTATGGCGTCACTGCGCCCGCCCCCCCGGCTGACTTCGAAAATGGCGGAGGTTGTGCAGATCGCAGCCTTTGAATCCGTGTAAGGCGTCTCCTGTGCTGACCCCCCAGCCGGCCTTCGAAAGTGGGCGATAGTTTCGCAGATCGCAGTCCCACAAGGATGGCGAGGTCGAGTCTGACTCCGCGTATGGCGTCACTGCGCTGGCCCCCTCAGCAGCCTTCGAAAGTGGCGACAGTTCCGCGGATCGCACCTCCCCGGGGATGGTGAAATCGAATATGAGTCCGCGTATGGCGTCATTGTGTCAGCCGCCCCAGTACCCCTCGAAACTGGTGACAGTTTTCCAAATCGCACTCCCCACAGGATGTGAGAGAGAAAGGAAGGAAGGAGACGAGAAAGAGAGACGTGACCACATCGCTGCATTCAAAACGAATCCCCAACAACGAAAGGATGGGAAAAGTCTGTGACCGAAAACGTGCCCGAAATGGTGGCCGAAAAGTTAGTGTCACCGAAGGTGTGGCCGAAGCTGAAAATGTCGTATTGGTTTCGAACCCAGAATTTCGGTCACGTTGTGGCTCGTTCAGAGAATTTCGGGCGCCTCTTTCGGTGATGTTCGGGCAGATGTTGGGGCACAGTTTCGGTCACTACACTCGAGACGAGGCTGCGTGAGCATCAGCGTAAAATTGCGGAAATCCGTGCGGACTTTCAAAAGTTCACGCTACTGGCAAGCTCGTGTCGTGCCGACGCGACGGCCACCCCTCCGCGGGCGTTCAGGGTTGAGCGCCGCTTGTGGCCCACAAGCGGTCGACATGGAACGAGCTGGCAACCGAACAGCCGCCAATCGTTCGAGGTTGAATGACCCGCCGGGTTTCAAGAACCAGCGCCAGGGTCGTCACGACACGATCTTGCTGTTTGCCAACTTCCTCTTGAGACCGTTGTTTTATCCCCTGGCGATAACGGGTGCGACCGGGGACGGGGGAAGGGGGAGAAGCGGGGGCTGGTCACGTTCTGATTCGCGCGGCGCCGTCTGGGGAGGCTCAGGACTGGCCAGTTCCCAGATGGCGCTGGCGCGAATCGTGACGTGACCAGGGAAGGGGGGAGAGTGAGCGACGGGGAGGGGTGAGCCGCCGAGAGCGGGAGAGGTTGAGGTTGAGGGAGGCTGGGGTCCTCCCAGCGCCTCCCGCCGTCGCGGGGAGCGAGGGGGGGAGGGCAAGGGGGCGGGGCTGGCCGCGGGCGATGATCTGCACGGGCTCCGGAGGACCACTGGGGGCTGGAGGCGGTCAAGAGGCGCATCCTCGAGTTCCTCGCAGTCCAGAGGCTGCGGGGGAGCGCGAGCGGGCCGATCCTCTGCCTCCACGGCCCCCCCGGCATCGGGAAGACCTCGCTGGGGCGGTCGGTGGCGCGCGCGCTGGGCAGGCCGCTCGGCCGCATCGCCCTGGGCGGCATGCAGGACGAGGCTCGCCCCCCTCCGCGGCCCTCTCCCCACATCACACCGCCCCCTCCCCCTCCCCATCGCTCCCCTGCTCCCCTCTCCACCCCCCCCCCTCTTCCTCCTCCTCCTTCTCCTCGTTCTTCTCGTTCTCCTCCTCCTCCTCGTCCTCCTCCTCCTCCTCCTCCTCCTCTTCCATTTCATTTCCTTATAGATAATTTCTCACTGTCGGACCACGAGGCCAGTGTTTAGACCAGGCCGGGCGTTTTGCTTGAGACTTCATCACCATGTATGATCTTGAAGTTTAGAGCTGACAGAAGTTTTGCAGATGGAGGGCGTGCCTTCTTCAAAATGTGGCTCTCGCTTTAGCGCCGCGCACATTCGTTTTCAACAATTGCAAAGAGTTTCACGGATTGAGGGCTGGTGGTTTCCAACATTTGGTTCTCGCGTTAGCGCCGCGCACATTCATTTTCAAAAATTGCACGAGATTCACGGATCAAGGGCGGGTCGTTTTCTAAATGTGGTTCTCGCTTTAGTGCCGCGTGCATCAGTTCCAAAAAATTGCAATATGTTCACGGATTGAGGGGGGTGGTTTCCAAGTTGTGGTTCTCGCTTTAGTGCCGCGTACATTCGATTTTGAAAATTTACCAGAGTTTCGCGTATTCCCATGATCAGCGTACCTGAGATGGTGTTTTGGGAGGACTCAGGATTATGAGGGTGCAACAGCTAAGTTGATTCGCGATGCTACAATCCCAGGAATGGCGTTTTGGTACGATTCAAGGTCGTCAAGACGCAACAGTCAGGGTGATCCACAGAGTTGGCCCGAGAACAATGTTTTGGCATGTGTCAGGTCTTCTAACGGTTTTCTTCCAACGAGGCAGTTCCCTCAGTGGAAAAGAACCGTTGTAGGGGCATGTGAAGAGGGAGCTTGGAGGGAGGGTTTATTCCAACCTCGTCGATGACTCTTGGGTTTACACTGGTCCCCCTCTTCCTCGGTCCCCTTCCAATTTGTCCGATAGCGCAGAACACGATGTGGTCTTTGGGGAAAGTTCCAGAGGAGGTACAGTGGGGGCCCATGCCAAGAAACACCCTGCTTGCCTCCAGGGTGCCCTGGGTTTCTCGGGTCTCGATGGTTTTGCGATGGAGGGCGCCGACGTTCCCACGCCAAAATCCATGGACGTCCTGAGGTGTCAGGGTTGGGTTTCTTGTAGAAGGCTTCTTGTGGTCGGGCCTCTTCTGTAGGAGAATGGGTCGGGGGGAGAGGCAGGAGGCCAGATATGGCGCGAGCGCACCTAGCTTGCCTCCTCCGCTCTCCCCTCCCCGCCCCCCCTCTCCCTCGCCTCAGGGACACCGGCAGCGGAGGCGGGGGGGGGCTGTCTGGGAAGCATCGACGCTCAATCGTCACCCATTCCTCGCCCCAGCCTGACCAGGAAAGTGGCGGGTGCACCATGGGGGGCCCATCGCCGATCTATCGGCGACGCTCGATTCCGGATCATTGCTGACCCCCTTGGGCCAGTCCCCCCCGTTTGTCCCTCATCGCTAATCCCTCCCTCTCCCCCTCTGCTGAGGAAGCTTGAGCCGCAGTGCTTGGGAGCTAGAATCCTCTCGCGAAGAAAACATTGTATAAATATTCTGGATCGGCGCTGGAGCCCCCTGGCGGCACCTCTGGCGCCGCCCCTGCCGCACTCCGCGCGCCAGGGAAAGGGGAGTACAGCGTCAATCCAAGAAAAATCCGCACGGACCTCCGAGAGCTGATGCTGCCATTTCTTGTTCCTCGACCCCGGCAGCGGCGCTCTCAGAACCCGTGGGGGCTCAAGAAACGGGGGTCAATGCAAACAGGGGTCAGTCAGAGCGCCGGATCTTGCAGGATCCTGCAGGGCCAGGATGCATTGACCCGGGGCTGGGTGCAGGATCCTGCAGGATCCTGCAACGCCTGACTGACCCGGGTCTGGATTGACCCAGGTCTGGGAAGGCCCCTTCCCTCCCCTCCTGGGGTGCACCGACAGGCGGAGTTGCGGGGCCACCGCCGCACCTACACCGGCAGCGCGCCCGGCGCGGTCATCACGGCCCTGCAGGTCGCCGGCGTGAACGACCCCGTGTTGCTGCTCGACGAGGCTCCCGGAGCCCAGACCCCCTCGCGTCGTGAGAACATCACGACGGGCGTTTTCTCCAGATGTTCGGCCTCAGGGTTAAGTGCGGCATGTCCTTCTACAGGAGGAATATTCACGAATTGTCCCCCCCAAAGAATGATACGATTTTGTTTAATATTCCCTTGCCTCTTTAGGGGTCCTAGCGGATTCATATGTGTAGGTGACCTACGTGGAATTTTCAAAAATTATCCAAAGAACATTAGCCTGGCGAAGGACCCAAGCATATGCAGTTGTGAAGACCGCAATTGTGAATATAATCTTCGCTCGCGCTCCCTATGGGGCCACGAACAGCGTGAGGAGGCGCGCCGAAATGCGTGGCGGGGCCCACAACGCGAACAAAGACGGTCGGTCTGAGTGCAAGAGAGACTAAGAATGGGTGAGCCTGAGCGCGAGTGAGTCTGATTGTGAATGAGCCTGCGTGCGAATTAGTCTACGCGCACGAATGTCGACGCCCGTGTCGGCGCGCTCCTCACGAGGATCGCGCCCGCTTCCTTCCCTTTCTTTTTCTGCCCCTTTGCCCGCGCACGCCGATGTCCATGGCTGCGGGCGCGTCGCCGCACGGAGTCCCCGCGACGCACGCTGGTCGCCCCGAAAGGGTCCCGGCGACGCGCACGGGTCGTCCGCTGCGCGGAGCAAAGAAAGCTCGCTGGCCGGCTGATAGCGGGCAAGGCTGTGGCCGCCGGGCAGAGCGACGACGGGGGCGAGCGAGGCTCTGGGCAGAGCGCAGCGCGGAATTCCCGCGACGCGTGCTGGTCGCCCCGAGATGGTCCCAGCGACGCGCGCGGGTCGCCCGCGGCGCGAGGCCAAACAGACCGTCAAGAGACGGCGAGGCTCGGGCGGGCCGCTCCTCTGGTCAAGCCTCGCGGATAAACCCGGTGAAGCCCAGCTTCCTGGCGAGGGCCGTAGCCTCCCTTCTACACCGCTTCGTACGCGCCGCAAACTGTTGCCAGGAAAAAACTCGATGCGCGGCGCCCGCATGAGCAGGAGGTCCTCGTGGCGCGTGGCGCGCGAGAGCAGCGCGTAGAGCTCCAGACACCAGTCGTCGTCCTCCTTCTTGCCGTTCCCGACCTCGTGGCGGCCGCAGTCCAGGATCACGCCTGGGGCCCGAAAGCGGCCTCCACATGCCGAAAACGACAAAAACTTCCAAAGATCGAAATTCGCCGCCATGCGGACTCCGCCACTGGGCCGCCATGCGAACTGCGCTAATGCGACCTTAGGTGGAGCTCCTTATGGCCCTATGGGGGCCACGAAACGTGCGAGGGGTGTGCCAAAATGGGGGGGGGACGCCATGCGAGTTTCGCCACCGGAACCTCAGGTGGAGCTCCCTATGGGGCCACGAAACGTGTGAGGGGCGTGCCAACATGAGGCGGGGCCGCCATGCGAGTTCGGCCATTGGGACCTTAGGCGGAGCTCCCTATGGGGCCACGAAACGTGTGAGGGGTGCGCCAACATGGGGCGAGGCCGCCATGCGAGTTCCGCCACGGGGACCTTCGGTGGAGCTCCCTATGGGGGCCACGAAACGTTGTACTGGGTGGATGAAACGCAAGGGAGGAAGGAGAAGGGGGAGGGGAGGCAGCGGGAGGAGAAAGAAGGAAAGAGGACGCGGGCTCTGTCTTTTCAAAAGAGGTGGAGTTCCCTATACGCCACGAAACGCGTGAGGGTGCGCCAAAATGGGGCGGGGCCGCCAAAATGAGGCGGGGCCGCCATGCGAGCTCGGCCACCGGGACCTTCGGTTGAGCCCCCTTTATGGGGCCACGAAGCGTGTGAAGGGTGTGCCAACATACGTGTGAGGGGTGTGCCAACATGCGGCGGGGCCGCCATGCGAGTTCCGCCATTGGGACCGTAGGTGGAGCTCCATCTGGGGCCACGAAACGTGCGAAGGGTGTGCCAAAATGGGGCCGGGACGCCATGCGAGTTCGCCACTGGGAGTTTTGGCGGAACTCCTTATTGGGGCCACGAAATGTGTGAGGGGTGTGCCAAAATGGGGCGGGGCCGCCATACGAGTTCCGCCACTGGGACCTTAGGTGGAGCTCCCACTGGGGCCACGAAACGTGTGAGGGGTGTGCCAACATGGGGCGGGGCCGCCATGCAAGCTCCGCCACTGGGACCTTCGGTGGAACTCATTATGGGGCCACGAAACATGTGAGGGGTGTGCCAAAATGGGGCGGGGCCGCCATGCGAGTTCCGCCTCATAACCCTAGAGCCCTATAGTTTCATAGCCTTAAAGCCCGAATAAGTATATAGAATAGCCCTATAGCCATATAGCCCTACAGTCCTATAGCCCTATAACCCTACAGCCCTATAAACCTATAGCCCTATAAACCTATAGCCCTATAACCCTATAGCCCCATAGCGCTAGAGCCCCATAGCCCTACTGCCCCGAACAAAAATCTGATTGGTGTTTTTCTCCGGTCTCATTTTGTTGCTATTTTGTTGCATTTTCTGGGTACAAAATCCGCCTGTAAGGGGACATGCCCGACCTAAGTCTTAAAGCGGCTCGGGATGAAAAGCCGGCCCCAGGGAATGGGTCGAGACCTCGGGTCGTTGGTTCAAAAATGGGGTCTTGAGGGATGGGGGCCTAAGGACGGGTCTTCGGGGAAGGTTCAGAAAGCTTCGCAGGAGGCCAGGGAAATCCGAGCCTTCTGAGAAGCCCGCCCCTTCCCACTTCCCCCCGGGCGCGCCGCCGAGAAGAGCGAGCGCGAGGCAGTGTACGTCGGTCGTTGAAAGTTGGTACTTTGGGATTGTCAGATCCCAACCTAATTTTCAGCGCCTTCCTACTTCAAGAACCGATGTGTGTTTGCCGCGTTTTGCTATTTTCTGGGAGAGCTGGAGCCCAATCTGCGTTACCCGCCTTCCCACTTCATGTGAGCGGCGCAGCACAACGGCCCGCGTAAGGTCGCGCGTAAACGCCCTCGTCTCCAGTGTGGTGTGGCGTGCCGTGCCGGCGGCCCGCGCACGCCGCCGCGCAAGGTCTCTATACCATATCGCGCAAGACCCATTTCTGATTGTCGCCCATCTGTTTCCCTTCGTCTGCCGACCGACGTGTGAGCTCATGATGCGCCAACCTGCTCTAGCCTTTCTGGCAGAAAGAATCTCGAGCACCAAGAGAGTACCGGAACCGGAAGGCTGTCACGCGCCGGGCCCTGGGAGGCGGTGCTCGCTCGACACCGTTTCGACGCCTTCCTGGGTGCTCGAACTCGGCTCTGGGATGTGGTCCCTGAGCACGATACGGTAGCAGCAGAAGTGTGAGCATACAGCTTTCTACGGGCCGGCACAGATCTCTGGGGTCGGCGTTGGGCCGCCCCCCACGGGCGGCTCCTTCGGCGCAGCCGCCCGACGCGCTTCGCACGCCAGGGGAGGGGGGGGCCCGTCGGCGACCCCAGAGGTCCGCGCGGCCTGCCAGAGGGCTGTGCTCATGCCGAAGCTCGTGTTCCTCGATCATCCTCCGCGCCCCTTGCAGGAGAAGAAAGACACACAGACACGAAGAATCGTCGATTCCCAAGAAAATATGGGAAACTATGGAAAGTGGGGGGGGAAGACGAAGAGAAAGCAGATACGAGAAAAGATAGGGAATCCTGGGATTTGTGCGCACTTATCTGTCTGTCCCTGGGACCCTGCATCCCTCCGCAGCCACTCTGGCACAGGTGCGCAGCCTCTTCACACCGTTTGCGAGCGCCCTCCTTCGGGCCTGCACTTCCGGCAGATCCTTGCCCGGGGCCGCTTGCAAGCGATGACGGCTCTCCCCACCCTCACCATGGACGAGGTGGCCAAGCACAACACCAAGGAGGACTGCTGGGTGGTGCTGTACGGCAAGGCCTACGACCTGGGCAAGTTCGCCAAGGTGCACCCCGGAGGCGCGAAGCTCATCTACGACTGCGCGGGCAAGGACGGCACGGCCCTCTTCGACCCCATCCACCCGAAGGACATCATGGACAAGCTGCTGAAGCCAGCGCTCACGATGGGCGTAGTGGATCCGGCCACCATCAAGGAGGAGCACATCGCGAAAGCGGAGGTGAAGGAGAAGAAGGCGGCCCCGAAGAAGAAGGCGGTGGACAAGGCTCCCGACGCCGAGATCGTGGAGTTCGTGAAGCCCCCGCTCGCCGGCATGCTCAACACGTTCGACTTCGAGTCGGTGGCCAGGGAGGTCATGGAGCCACAGGCCTGGGGCTACTACTCCAGCGGCGGCGACGACGAGATCACCCTGCGCGACAACCACATGGCCTTCCAGCGCATCACCATGCGACCCCGCATCCTGGTGAACGTCAGCGAGATCGACATGACCACGAGCTTCCTCGGGGTGTCGTCCTCGCTGCCGCTGTACTTCACGGCCACCGCGCTCGCGAAGCTGGCCCACGCGGACGGCGAGGTGGCCATCGTGAGGGCCGCCAAGAAGGCCGGAGTTCCGTACATGCTTCCAACCCTGAGCTCGTACACTTTGGACGAGATGTTGGAGGTTCGAAGAACAAAAGAACATAAAGCTAAAGGTTCGGAGCTCCGCGCGGATTTCTTCGATCTGCGTCGGGCCCCCCTGGCAGTGCCTTGGGCGCCGACCCTGACGCGCTCCATGCGCCAGGAAAGGGATCCAGCGCAGATCCAAGAAATCCGGGCGGAGCTCCGAAAGTTTATGCTTGTGCAGTTTGTTCTTTCTCTAGAGGCGCGCCAGCCTGGACAGGAGCTGTTCTCGCAGCTGTACGTGAACCCGGAGCGGTCCCGCACCCAGGAGTACGTGGAGAAGCTGGAGAAGAACGGCGTCCGCGCCCTCTTCATCACCGTGGACGCGCCCCAGCTCGGGCGGCGCGAGAAGGACATGCGCAACAAGTTCACCCAGCAGGGCTCCGACGTGCAGGGGGACGACGAGGACGAGGGCGAGGTGGACCGCTCGCAGGGCGCCACGCGTGCGATCAGCAGCTACATCGACCCGGCCCTGAACTGGGCGGACGTGCCTTGGTTCAAGACCATCACCA